CGAATGTCGCTAGCGATATTAGTTTCGATACGTTATCCGCAATGAGTAACATATTTAGCATAATTGGAATATACGTTAGAAAACCCGTCAAAAGCTGTACTCGTATATTGATCAATGTATCTATGATTGCGGAGGTATTCATACCACTGTATGAATAAATGTCAAATCATTCGTAACTACAAATCAATAGCGATTTCTCTCCAAAAAATCATTCACCACTTGTCACTACGATTTTCCTGAAAACTGTCAGGTATTTTTTTTGTTTTTGCTTAGATAACTTTTGTTCAGTCTTGTTCTGTATTTGAGATAAGCCGATAAACAATTCCTTCGATTTGAGGCATAATGTAATCCTACGTCGTAACGTTACTGTAACGGCGTATCTATACTGACCACCTGGTCAATGCACCAAGGATTCGAAAAAGTAGCCATAGAAATCCCTGCACTCCCCCGCAAAAATCAAATTATTGATTGAAATATATCATACAATTCCCTTGGATAAAGCCTCGGCCATTCCATCGAGTCAGATACCAAACGGACAAGGGTCCTCTTTCATAAAACTTGTGATCAATAACAACAAATGCTAAATTTCTATAACAAATACGTTCGTGGTCGATCAAATGCCTTGATCTCAGTAGCTCAAAAAGTTATGATCTGTAATTGTTATTATCTTATAACATTTTTTGTGAAACAGGGACCAGATCAACAAGAATTTGCGTTACCCCTATTAATGGCCAAGAATCGGCCGGTCTGGAGTGCGTTTGTAGTTGGTTTGGGACTGTGTCTGAGGTGTTAGACAAAATGGAAGAAATATCAACAAGATACTCTTGGGGTGAATACAAGAAGAAAAAGACAATGAAGTAAACGAAAAAATCGAAGGTTACCTGAGATTATTTTAACGTCAACCATTACAAGAATAATGCTTTTCCTGTAGAGGTTGGGCGTTTGTGCATCACGCTTTTTTCGATTTACTATCGCAAATACACTTGAAAATGTTTCGCGAAAAAATCAAACTAGCGTCCTTATTACAAGCCCAATAGATCTGATATTGCCTATATGTTTTGTGATGATCATATCGTATTGAAGCATCGTCGATGCTCTTAAGTCGAGCAAGTGGATAAATTCAACTTGAAATATACCTTTATCACTTTTAAACTGAGCAAGTGGATACTTTCCACTTGATATTTCAACAAAAAAAGTTTTAAGGTATATACAAGTGTGATTGTGCAATTATTAGATTCCATTAATCCATTAATTGGTAGATTTATGTAATTTTATTTCGTGTTCTCTCTAGTCGAAGTCATACAGGCAACGATAACGCATAAACACGTGCAATGTTTGCCGTTTTCTCTCTTTTTTCATTGACTTTAAACACCATTATCGCTGAAGGACCTGCAGGTTGTATGTTCTTGTACTATGGATGCCTTCAAAATAGGTTTTAGTAGGTGTTGAGGGTATCGGATGTTTGTTAAAGACCCCTGTCATGAGCACTGCGCTTCCTCAAGGGTGTATTCCTTTCGACATCAATTTCAAATTATTCACTAATGACTTTCAAGAAGTCTGCCAGGACATTCACGCAGAAACGAGTAATACATTATAGAACAAACATTATTAAACAAATATTGGGGTGACTGAGTTACTTCAAGGCTCAATGAAAGAAAACGTAGAGACTCGATTGACTATAGGAAATAGAGCAAAATGACGTTATTTGACTTTCGACTTACAAACATAACACAAGCATTAAAATTGTTCTCAAGAACAAATATCTCTGGATAACAATTGGTAAAAATTGGTAAATAGCATAAGGATGTATCAGCCAAGGGCCATTTAAGCTCCGTTATCAAAGAGTTTTAGCATCGCAACAAGTTGAATAGCTAAATTCTCAAATTCTTTCTCACTAGCCACCTTTCTCTACTTAAAGTGTGATCCTTTGTTTATGTAGTCGCTTGTCGAAAAAACTTTTTCTTCATATCAGTTAGTACCCATAATCAATTTGAGAATTGTTTTATCATCCCATTCAGAAAGGGGGTTTGTAAAAGGCCTTAGTGACTAAATAGCTTTCGCATTTAATTCAGAAAAACTCATGGTATTTTTTTATTATTGGTACTCTTTTCTTTATAAACAATAATGTACTGTTACAGTATTGGACCTCAAAAAAAAAGCCGTTGGAAATACCCTTGTATGTCAAGAATATTTGATTAACAGTACTTTTCAACCATTGCGTTGTCATTTAAATTATTTAACGCTTACGTTTCCCTTTTTACAATTCCAGATAAATAACTATAATTCTAAAAGACAGGTATGGGCACATTGTGGACAAAGTCCTGGTTTATCTGCTAATATTCCATTCTGGTTTATATGTCTCTCTGAAAAGTTATTGACAATTCCACAAAAATAGAAATAACTATTGTTCTGTCTACATGCTGACGCATTTTATATTTTTCATATGTTAGCAACCTTTAATCAAAAGCTATTGACTCCTTGCCCAAAATGTGTGGAATCTCATGGATGATGATGATGAGAGGGAAGTGATCACTTCGGTTTGCAAACGCCAACTGCCTCGGTTGGGCACTCCCAAAGGGGTAGTATCACTTTCTTTCTAAAGAAATCAGACTTCTTCCAGATCCTCAATCAGAAATGTGAAACCACATGTGCTAAATTAGAATTACAAATAGATTCTACGAATGTCGTTGTTGATTAGTGACTACTTGAAACTTGAAAAAAAAATGTATTTTCTATTTAACACTTTATATTGCCGTGTGACTGTTCGGGTGTTTATCAAAGAAATTACACAATTTGTCTTTTTTGGATTTTATAAATACGAACAGAAATTTTATCCAGCCAAATTAGTGAAATTAAATACTGCGTTTAAATTTTTTGTGGAAAGAAAACTAAAAAAATAAGAAAACGAAATCGCCCTTAGGGCCTCTTCAGTTAAAGGTACTACATGTATGTCCCATTTGCAGGCCAAAAAATGAAAAAGTTAAATTCCAACTGCATTTGAAAGATAATACTAATTTAGAACTTCCCTAAAAAGGTGGGGCTTGAAAATGTCTTCAAGTGGGAAAATAACGACTATTAGTTGTCAAATCGACTATAGGGCTGTAGAGCCCAAAAGTAATAGTCTTGATTTTCAGACAATTGTACCAAATGGTCATACGTTTTATGATGCGCAAAGATTCAATCAGTTTAATCTTGGCCATCACAAGAAGTGGGTTATTGATGTAGACAAATGCTCATGTACCCTTTACAACTCTTTTCATGTATGTTATTACCAAAGAAGAAAAAGGCCAGTCAGTCACTCAATAGTGTCTGACAGTGAAGTCTAGCAAGAAATCGGGTTTCCTTGCATAATTTGAATGTGAGGAATATGAGGAACAGATAGGACATACATGTTATTCATAATTCCTGCAAAGTTCTACAGAATTTGAGGTTGGCTGCAAAAGGGACATAGTACCTTTAATTGACATGTTTTAGGGAGCCGTAATTTGTACCTTGGGTGTAATGTCGCACAATCAACCGAACAAACGGAGTACTCTATTTTCTATCAGGAAGGCTATTGACACGCTCCCCACGAATATATGGTGTCCCCAAGGTTCCCTTACTATAATAGCCCGCTTTCAGTTCTTAGGACTATGTAAGGGGGATGTTAACTCTGATTTGAAAGGAACTTATATAAAGATGGACACGTTGCTTTGTCCATAAATATATCCTTCTGGCCAAGAACTATAACTACATGTACGTTATGGTATAATTCAAGAGAATTCTATGAAAAGGGGGACAAACCCCGCGGGGCAATACGAATTGTGCAGTTTACCCAGAACGATATCCCAGTTTTCTCAAGGCAATCATATTTACTTCAATGTTGTTTTCCCCACCATCTAAAGCACCGCATGGGGTTGTGCGAGTGTGGGAGAGGGTGATATTATGAGCGTGGTTAACAATTTTGACGGGTCTCTTATAGAGATGACAACAAACTTGCAAAGATTTAGTTTAACCACTAATACAGATTGCTCGTTACAGTAAAATCCATGAACTCTTGATCTCTAAAGTATCAAGTAACCTTCACATGACTGGGCCGATTTATGCAAGAGTAGTTTCATTGAAAACACCCCTTGCTTCATAAAGCCGTTTATTTCAGGGGTAATGATATAACTTTTACTTTAAAAATAGTTTTACGATTATTATCATTAGGAATTTTGAATGTATTTTATCTAGTAAAAAATATCAAATATAGTGCAATGGAATTTTCTTCTTTCTTTTTAACACCGCTATATTCATAAATTCTGATATAATCTGGGTGTGATGATACAGCTTATCCTCACACACAACTTTTACGATGTCTATTAAATGTATATAATCTACATCTAAAAAATATCAAATTACGTGCAAAAGGATGTCAAGAGGTTCGCACACCCTGTCATTTTGAAGTTACAGTTATGCACACACAACCAATACAGGCAATACAATCATGGCCATCATAGGCGGGGGAGAAGGTCTAGGGAGATGCGGCTCCCCCCACCCCCCCCCCCCCCCTCTTCCCAGCCATTATCTTAAATTGCCAATGTTTGGGCAAACCCCATCTTAAACTCGGGCAGTGAAGTGGTTTGTTTGTATGTGGAGTATTTTGATATTAACGAAATGACATTTCCATGACGTCCTCGAATGTTGAAGAGAGTTAACCATCAGGTGAGAGACGTCAGCCCCCCCCCCCCCCCTCCCAGATCCGCCGGCAAAGTTAAGGCTTAAGCAGATGTACGCCTATTATTATTAAACAGTTTTTTGTTTAGCCCTCAATTGTCCAACCCCCCCCCCCCCCGCGCTCTAATAACAATATCGATATAATAGAATTCATCTACGCCAGCTATAGCCTCAAGGTTCTAAATTACCACATAGGCCCCTATATATTATCCGATTCTAAGCATTTACTTGAAAGGATCAAACAAATGTTTACTTTCTGGCAATTGAAAATGTGACGGAACGCATAAAGACATGAAACTTACTCGTCTAATGGCTGTTTAAGATGCATCTACAAAAGAGACCTCAAACAAGATGCAACAGTGCGTTTAAATGAATCCAGTAGCCGAGTGTTTATTCAATGCGGGGCACCACTCCGACGACAGTACTCGCTTTTCAGGAACTACTATCCAGTTTCATCCCGCTCACGTTCCTCACTAACTACACGCCGGTGGCCTTCCGATCGCGGCCGTGTCTTGGCTCGTTATGAGAAAACAGGGCGAAACAGAGAATGTCAGCGCTGAAAAAAAAGCGCTCGTATGCATAGTCCGTTGGTTGAGTTGCCAACAATGCTGGTTCAATGTCCGTGCGCTTGCGAACAGGTGCGTGCAACAGGTTACTGATTGATTTCGCGAGGTGGAGTCGAACGCTCGAAGTCTATCTTACAAGATTGAAAATGATCACCTCTCCATTGCGCTTTTACGTCATCTTTCTTTGGATGAGCGCCATTCTCTTCCAATATCTTTACTATTTCTGATATCATAGTTACTTTACTGATCAATAAAGATTGATCAATGCAGTTTCATCAATAAAGATTGATCAATGCAGTTTCACATGAGAAGATATAAAGTCTGTTTATCAGGAACAGTTCATATTGTCATGATTATTTCACGAAAAGATCAACACAATTATTCCAACCGAAATGGGCAACAGTATATTTTTTTCAAATTTCATTTGCGTTGCATATATTCATATTTTGTTTCTGTGTATGCCCAACATCATAAGAACCCCTTAGATCGTTTGTTTTGCATCCACCAGGGAATGTGTTAACATGGTCACTCGAGTAAGAAGTGTGTATGGAGCTTCACGTATTTTTTTTGTTGTGGGCGACAGTTTGGTAAAATAAGGGATACAAACTACTGTTACCATAGCAGTGTCGTGGTGTTGTGGGACGTCGCCGCATTGTGGATCATATTGTTTGAGGTTCGAATCCCGCCGTCCTTTTTCAGGTATAAATCTACATTTCCCACTCTTCACATAGGTGTTAAATGCCAATGGAACAATTGGCATATGTGCGATACCAAAATGGCGCCTGGCCAGAAGACTCCCCAGGGAGTGGAGCGTGACCACTATTCATTAGCAATCGAATCCAATTACGACGTAACTCGCTAAGAAACGTAGTGTTAAGCGCTATTAAAGTTATTTTTTTATCATTATTGTTATTATTTTCATTTTCTTGGAAACTAACGATCAAAAAAACAAGCGCTGAATATTGCTAAAAGGCATTTTACCAACGTAAATGTTAACTATTGATTTGTTTTACCAGGAAGATCTCCCTGGTTTTACGTTGGATTATTATTAAGATTTGCCTGTAAGCAGTTGGCGGGGTATAAATAAATCTGACCTGCTTTACTCAACTTTATATTTCTGCCAATGATATTGCCATCATCGACACCAACATCGGCATCGCCGAAATTTAAGAGATATTGAGCTAATATTTAATACTAGAATGAAAAATAAGTAAAATAAATACAAATGTCTTTCTGAATAGAAGGGGTGTTGGAGTGTTGCCATTTGTTTCTGTAGATTTGCATGTTGTTGAGAATTGTTCCATGAATACAGAAACGTCAAGCGGGTAATTTTACGATCTGACTACCTTTTTATTTATTATAACTGGGAGAGGCTTGATGGAAAACAGGCCTAATTCTGAACGACTTTTGACCAGTTTAAAAATCCATATTTCTCTCAAACACATGCGCGCGCACTTAAGCATCTTCCTCTCTTTCTCTCTTCCGTATTCTCTTCTTTTCTCATTTCACCAACCACCGTCCATCTTAATTGTCCTCACAGGGTCTCATCATGTCCTTAATGATCACTTAAAGCCCGAATCAGGGGCAGATGCCATCGGACAATTCCGGCGAAATAAGCACCAATTACCAAGAATGTCAAGATGTGAGGGGCACGGAAAACTTCCGCTCTTTTGCTTTTAAGCGATTGCCATCCAAGCCAGTAAGAATCAATAATGCATCACGTATCATGCTTTTGGCTGATAGGATAGGAGGTCGTGATGAAGAATCTGGCGACGAAGGGACGAATTAAAATAAAAGTGATTACGAAGAGGGGGAAGCAGCTTGAAACGTCATTGCATGAACAAGAAAACCAAGTTAATATTTTCGTTCACACCTGCTGATGTACATGTCAGGGGAATAAGGTGTTCCGATAGGGTTATTCAAGTTCTACAGAAAATAAGTTTTCAAACATAGATTGGGTGCATTATTGAATGACAAAAGGACTGTAATTATACTTTCACGTCTAGAATATAACAAATTTATATTTCTATTGCCAGAAGTTATTTAAAACGAAGTTGGTCCTTCAACCTTGCCAATAATGGCAATGATGCTACTAACCGCCCGAGGCATTTACCAAGAAAATATTGAACTCGTCGTGTTAGATTTGGAATTTCTCCCACAGCGCATATTCATTTGCCGAAGGAAGCCCATCCGTATATTGCTCTTTTGGAGGGCTCTGGGTTGTGGCGCTTTATCCATGAGCATCTCACGATTTCCAAAGTGGCCATTTTGCACTCCTTAGTCGAGAGTCGAAAATGTGGGTTAAAATGCCTTGTACAAAGATGTAAGCCTTAGGCAAGATTCGAACCCGGGGCCTCTAGTGTAATAGTCAAAAGCCTTTGAAAATTTACGACAGAGGTTCCATTGAAAGAATATTCTTATGTCTTAATATACCTCAACCATCACTTCATAATCATCAATGTATGAATAATGTAAGCTGAGAAGTTATTAATATATAGTTTTTATTTAAATTATCTGCTGACCATATTAAGGCAAAGTTTCTAAAATATCTCATGGTCGGACTAAGATGTCGCTTTTAAAACAGTTCTGCTGTTGGCAAGTATAATTGCAATGCAAAGAAGAATTCAATTTGAGAAATGTGATTTTTGGGGAGAAACATTTAAATCATACGACAAAGTGGTTCTACAATAGGAACGCTAGGAGTAGTTGTAATGCCATGAAATATGCAACACCTCTCTAACACTTGCTCGTGTAGGAAAATTATGTGAAAGCATGTTCTTGGGGGAGGATCATCACGTATTCGTATCACAATCCATGTGGTTTTGAGCGGTGTGAAGCACTTGACTGTGTAGTCCAATAGAGGACCACCCTTCAGTGATCCAGATTACTCTGAAGCATCCCTTTCTGCAGGCATGAAGGACGTACTTCAAATCGTTTAAAGGGATTGGGTAACTTTGTCTCAGATTCTGAAACAAAATCCTGGTTTTAGCTCATGCTGCAGTGATAATTATAAACCTGAAGGTCAGTCAGGAACCCCATGACTTTTACAAGCCGATCGCCTGTCTGATTATCAAGATATTTATTATTGGAAATCAATTTTCAATTTTCAAAATTCGTTTTCCTAACGGTTTTTATAACACTATTGGGGAAGTGAGTATGGTAAAACCGGTCACTCAAAGATTTTTTGCTTTTTTGAGGTACTTCATGATAATTTTAAAGCGCAATTTTTTAGAGCTTCAATATGACCATATATCACAGACAATGCAAAGTAACACTTAGGGCCATGCATCTCAGATTTAACATTGTTAAACGATGCCTTTAAAGACTACGGGGAGCCCATGAACGGAGACAGAGGTGGTATGCCGAGGAATGGCGTGTTGTGCGGCGTGGGGGTGGGTGGGGAGGGTGGATGGTGGTGGGTATATCATGTGTTTTGTATGTACTGGAACTTTTTGTCGTTTCAGTAGGTAGGTGACTTTTTTATCAGCAAAAGTCTTTAAACATGAATCTCACTTTAACCAGTAAGCCTTTAACTATTGGTCGCCCTTTGAACGAAACCCTAAGACATGGATCCATTTTTTAAAGAAAAACCCGTAGACTAGACACAGGTCTCTCTTTTCATTCATTCCTACCAATGTTATCATGATCGATATAACGCTAGACAAAGATGGAAGCAAAGAACCGACCGAGTGAAGAACATTATAGACTGGAAAAACACTGTAAATGTGTACTAGAATGTCAGAGAAGAGAGATGAGGGTAAAAATGTTGTAATCAGTCTATGAGCTGGGAGAGGATACCATAGTAGATAGAATCAGTGTCCTCATCACATGATTCCTACTCTGGACTATCACTATCGGCAACTAGCATCTTGGAAAGTTATCCCCCCCCCCCCCCCACCTCCCCGAGTGGCCCGACAACGATGCTCTGAGGGCACTTTGAGTGGGTATTCCAAAATAACGGATGTCAAATTGATGGAGGAGCTTTGTGCCATATTTTTGTTTTCTGCTTGAGAGGGGATACTTCCTCTGGTACATACGCAGTCGGCGGAAATAAACAAAAGATAAATATTTTTAAAGAAATACATTCAGTAGAATAGCAAAGTGAAAATCACGAAAAAAAAAAGTATTGATCTGCTGGTATTTAGATGCCTACTACACACTAGTTTATTCCACCTGTCTTTATTGAATTATTTGGAATTCGAAATTAGTTATAGCAATAGTCGGGTGACCATACTATATTCATGAGCGAAGCGACATCATTTTCTTCTATATCCCATATAATTCTAGAGTGACGAAATTATAGTAAAATGCCATGAAAAGTGAACAAATTGTTGCAAATTTTTCAAAAAATTTAAATCACATATACGAAAATCCGGCATTCCTGGATAAAGAAACTTTGAACTATTCTTTTGAAGAATTCTTTTCATGTTCTTGTCATCGTAAACAGGCCTTTGTAAGTCGTGTAAATCGATTCGCGGCGATGCATTGCGATGTCGCTACGTCAAATAGTTCACGTTACTCGAAAGACGTTGCGTCTCCTCCAACAAAACAAAATATTAAATCTTTTGGTTTCAGTTCAATATTAGCCTATTAAGGAGAGCCAAGAATGTGATAAAGCGATGCATACCAGATCGTCGAGTTTCGCTCAAAATACATTCTACTGGGCCGGAGGGAACCTTCTCTTTTGATTGATGCGAAGATATCACATTTCAGCATGTGTTTTCGGCTAAATTGGCTTTCCACCAAAAGCAGAATATCCACAGAATTATTAATGAAATGAATAAGAAAATAGATGTAAGGAAAATTAACTTTGTCGAATACATAAAGGTAGGACAATGGTTCATGGACTACAAAATGACCTCACACATCATGAACAGTCTCCTAAATTTTAAAATATTTTCCAGCATTTCGAGGAACTTGCAAATAGGCAGTTG